AAGAAATACTTCCTAACATTCCTTTGACTCATCTGGGTCTTCAACTTTCAATTGTGACATCTTGTTTCTGTGTCCCCTCTCTGGAACATCCTGTCTCTGTCCACCTTGTCTATTCCACGCAGTATTTTGTGTGTCATCATGTCTCCCCTGACCCTCCTGTCCTCCAGTGTCGTCAGGCCGATTTCCCTTAACCTTTCTTCAAAGGACATTCCCCTTAGCTTTGGAACTAACCTTGTCGCAAACCTTTGCACTTTCTCTAATTTCTTGACGTGCTTGATCAAGTGTGGGTTCCAAACAGGTGCTGTGTGTGTGTACTCACCTATTTGTACTCACCTATTTATGGTTGCAGGGGTCGATTCATAGCCGCTGGCCCCGCCTCTTCACTGTGTGTGTGTGTGTGTGCGCGCTTGTACGTGTGTGTGTGCGCGCGCTTGTACGTGTGTGTGTGTGTGTGTGTGTACTCACCTAATTGTACTCACCTAATTGTGGTTGCAGGGTTCGAGACTCAGCTCCTGGCCCCGCCTCTTCACTGATCGCTACTGGGTCCTCTCTCTGCTTCCTGAGCTTTGTCATACCTCTTCTTAAAACTATGTATGGTTCCTGCCTCCACTACTTCACTTGCTAGGCTATTCCACTTGCTGACAACTCTATGACTGAAGAAATACTTCCTAACGTCCCTGTGACTCGTCTGAGTCTTCAGCTTCCAGTTGTGACCCCTTGTCCCTGTGTCCCCTCTCTGGAACATCCTATCTCTGTCCACCTTGTCTATTCCCCGCAGTATCTTGTATGTCGTTATCATGTCTCCCCTGACCCTTCTGTCGTCCAGTGTCGTCAGTCCGATTTCCCTTAACCTTTCCTCGTACGACATTCCCTTGAGCTCTGGGACTAGCCTTGTTGCAAACCTTTGTACTTTCTCTAACTTCTTGATGTGCTTGACCAGGTGTGGGTTCCAGACTGGTGCTGCATACTCCAGTATGGGCCTAACATACACAGTGTACAGTGTCTTGAACGATTCCTTATTAAGGTATCGGAACACTATTCTCAGGTTTGCCAGGCGCCCATATGCTGCAGCAGTTATTTGGTTGATGTGTGCCTCCGGTGATGTGCTCGGTGTTATGGTCACCCCAAGGTCTTTCTCCTGAGTGAGGTCTGTAGTCTTTGTCCACCTAGCCTATACTCTGTCTGCGGTCTTCTTTGCCCCTCCCCAATCTTCATGACTTTGCATTTGGCTGGATTGAATTCGAGAAGCCAGTTACTGGACCACATGTCCAGCCTGTCTAGGTCTCTTTGCAGTCCTGCCTCATCCTCGTCCGATTTAATTCTTCTCATCAACTTCACGTCATCTGCGAACAGGGACACTTCAGAGTCTATTCCTTCCATCATGTCGTTCACATATATCAAAAACAGCACTGGTCCTAGAACTGACCCCTGTGGGATCCCGCTCGTAACAGGCGCCCACTGTGATACCTCTTCACGTACCATGACTCGTTGCTGCCTCCCTGTCAGGTATTCCCTTATCCATTGCAGTGCCCTCCCTTTTACATGCGCCTGATCCTCCAGCTTCTGCACTAATCTCTTGTGGGGAACTGTGTCAAAGGCCTTCCTGCAGTCTAGGAAAACGCAATCTACCCACCCCTCTCTCTCGTGTCTTACTTCTGTTACCTTGTCATAAAACTCCAGGAGGTTTGTGATACAGGATTTGCCTTCCATGAACCCATGCTGGTTTTCATTTATAATCTTGTTCCTTTCCAGGTGTTCGACCACTCTCCTCCTGATAATCTTCTCCATGACTTTGCACACAATACGTGTCAGAGACACAGGTCTGTAGTTTAGTGCCTCGTTTCTGTTTCCTTTCTTAAGTATGGGGACTACATTAGCTGTCTTCCATTTCTCAGGTAGTTGCCCAGTTTCAAGGGATGTATTGAAGATTGTGGTTAGAGGCATGCACAGCATCTCTGCTCCTTCTCTAAGGACCCATGGGGAGATGTTGTCCAGTCCCATCGCCTTTGAGGTGTCAAGGTCACTTAAGAGCTTCTTCCCCTCCTCCTCAGTTGTTCGTATGTCATCCAACACTTGTTGGTATATTCCCTCTTGATGTTCCCTTCTGTGCTGTCTTCCCACAGCCCTTCCTGTCTCTACTGTAAAAACTTCCTTAAATCTCCTGTTCAGCTCCTCACATACCTCCTGATCATTTCTTGTGAGTTCTCCACCTTCTGTCCTTAATCTGATCACCTGGTCTTTGACTGTTGTCTTCCTCCTGATGTGGCTATACAACAGCTTCGGGTCAGTCTTGATTCTCGATGCTATGTCATTTTCATACTGTCGCTGGGCCTCCCTCCTTACCTGTGCATACTCATTCCTGGCTCTGCGACTGATCTCCCTATTTTCGTGTGTTCTCTGCCTTCTGTACTTTTTCCATTCTCTATTACACTTTGTTTTTGCCTCCTTACACCGTCGGGTAAACCAGGGGCTCGTTCTGGTCTTCCCGTTGTTACTGTTGCCCTTGGGAATAAACTTTTCCACTGCCTCCTTGCATTTTGTTGTTACATATTCCATCATTTCATTTACTGGCTTTCCTGCCAGTTCTCTGTCCCACTGGACCTCCCGCAGGAAGTTCTTCAACCCTATGTAGTCCCCTCTTTTATAGTCAGGCTTTTCCCATTCAACTCCTGTTATTCTCTCCACTTGCAGCTCTACTATGTATTCAAAGCACAGAACCATGTGGTCGCTAGCTCCTAGGGGACTCTCATACTTGATGTCCTCAATGTCTGAGCTGCCCAGGGTGAACACAAGGTCCAATCTTGCTGGTTCATCCTCCCTCTCACTCTGGTAGTGTCCTTAACATGTTGGTGCATGAGGTTTTCCAGCACCACGTCCAACATCCTGGCTCTCCATGTTTGGGACCCCCATGTGGCTCCAGGTTTTCCCAGTCGATCTCCCTGTGGTTGAAATCCCCCATAATCAGCAACTTTGCTCTGCTGGAATGAGCTCTTCTTGCCACCTCAGCAAGTGTGTCCACCATTGCTCTGTTGCTCTCTTCATATTCCTCTCTTGGCCTCCTGCAGTTCTGTGGTGGATTATACATCACTGCAATGACCACTTTGTGTTCCCCAGACTGAAGTGTACCTGCTATGTAGTCTCTTTCTCCCGTCTCATCTATGCCTTCCATTTTCTCGAATTTCCATCTGTTTTTTACGAGCAGAGCAACCCCACCTCCCCCCCTGCCCCTTCTATCTTTCCTCATGATCTGGTATCCTGGTGGGAAGATTGCATCTGTTATTGTCTCCGTGAGTTTTGTTTCTGTAACTGCTATGATGTCTGGGGACTTCTCATTGATTCTTTCTTGCCATTCCTCATGTTTATTCGTTAATCCATCTGCATTTGTGTACCAAACCTTCAACTTCTGTTCTAATACTGTAACTGTGGTGTGGGGGTGGAAACAGAGGGATCGGTGTGTGATGGTTGGTTTGGATTGTTCAGTTGCCTTGGGGGTGTCGTGGCTGGAGTCCTTCTGCAGGTGTTTCTGGGGGGTGTGCTTGTCCTTCCATTTGATCCTGGGTTATTCTGCTCTCCTTTTTCATTTCCTCCCATTTCTCCTTTCGTTTTTGAACTCTCTCTTTCATCGTCTTCCTTTCGTCCTGTGTTCTGTCTCGATCGAGTTACACACTCCAGAACTCCTGCTTGCCTCTCAGCCATGCTTTCTCCTGCAGGATCATGGTTCGGGTTGATTCTGCCTTGAAAATTACTTTGAGAGGCCGATTCCTTTTCTTTGTGAACCACCCAATTCTCCGAAAATTTGCCACCTGGGTCATGTCCCCCTCCCCTTTCACCTTCATGATATCTTCAATCGTTTTTTTCTCCTCCTGCTTTCTTTCATCATAAGTTTCCCCTTTAGCTTCGTCTAGCCCATAGACAAACACGGATCTCTCCCTTTCCACCTCCCACTGTGACTCCCATTGCATCCTCTGATGTGTTTTAGTTTCTTCCCGTGGAGTGTTCCTTCCTTCAGTCCCTTCCCTAGTTATGGGCGTGTGTGTGTGTGTGTACTCACCTATTTGTACTCACCTATTTGTGGTTGCAGGGGTCGAGTCCTAGCTCCTGGCCCCGCCTCTTCACCGGTTGCTACTAGGCCCTCTCTCTCCCCGCTCCATGAGCTTTATCAAACCTCGTCTTAAAACTGTATATGGTTCCTGCCTCCACTACGTCATTTTCTAGGCTATTCCACTGCCTTACAACTCTATGACTGAAGAAATACTTCCTACTATCTCTCTGACTCATATGTGTCTTCAACTTCCAATTGTGGCCTCTTGTTTCTGTGTTCCCTCCCTGGAACATCCTGTCTTTGTCCACCTTGTCTATTCCACGCAGTATTTTATATGTCGTTATCATGTCTCCCCTGAGTGTATGTGTGTGTATGTGTGTGTGTATGTGTGTGTGTATGTGTGTGTATGTGTGTGTGTGTGTGTGTGTGTGTGTGTGTGTGTGTGTGTGTGTGTGTGTGTGTGTGTGTGTGTGTGTGTGTGTGTGTGTGTTGTGTGTGTGTTTGCGTGCGTGCAGGCGCGTGTAAGCCACGTATTTTCGGCGGTCGAGCTTCTGGCCCATTCAGATCGGCATTACAGATTTCTTGTGTTTCGGGCCTTATCATATCTAACCTTGAAGCTGTGTAACAGGTCAGCCTTCAACATTTCCTAATCCAAATGATGCCTCTGTTTAAACACCTGTCTGAAGTTGTCAAGAGACTAAACACATAACTGAAGCTTGTCGAAGAGTGAGACACCTACGTTAAGGTTGTCGAGAGTTAAATCACCTATCTGAAGAGGTAAAGTACCTATCCGAAAGAGGTAAACTTCGAATAAAGGGTGTTAAGGGATCAAACACCTAATTGCTGTCAAAAACCCATTGAAGGAGTCAGAAACCTGCTTGAAGAGGTCAGACATCATCTTAAGAGGATCAGATAACTTTCTGAAAAGGTCAGATACTTACCCGAAGGTATCAGATACCTACCTGAAGGGGTCAGAGAGGAAGGCGTAGAGTATGGGGTTGACGCAGGAGTTGATATAAGCCAAGACTTGCGCTGCTATCTGGGTTATGATCCTGAAGGTCGTCATCTCGTACAGATCCAGAGACTTGAGCAACAGTACCAGCTTAACACCAAACCATCCAGACGTCACATTAATAACAATAATAATAATACTAATAATAATAATTAGTTGCAGCTTCAGAGCTGTTATACTACATAAGCTCATTTACATTGTAAGAACATCAATGACACTACTAATATTACTACCACTAATAACACAGTAGTATACTATACTTGGCTCGCATCCAGCCTCGGAGGAGCTGGAGGAAATTCATGATCTTTAATACATTGTGCCATTGTATTCATGTTTTTTTTTCTGTAAATGTATTCTGTTTAATAATAAATGTTCACATAGAATATAAAATATATAGGGGGTGGTAGGAGAAGCAAATATTCAAACAGCTCCGGGGAGAACCTTGAGTTTTCCCTGAGGTACGTTTATTGTCTTCTCTGAGGATGAGGGTCCCCAGTCCAGCTATAGAGGTGGTACTTCCCTATATATATATATATATATATATAATATATATATATATAATATATATATATATATAATATATATATATATATATATATATCTCTTAAAGAATAATCGGAATACTATGGAAGATTCATAAATAATACTGGCATAATTATCGGTACTGAGGGTAATGGTAGGCAGTATTTAGTAATATATGATCAAAATTCTTCCGTGTATTTCCTGAAGCATTCTAGAAGGTTTACACACAATAGCATCATGTTGTATGTGTATTATCCTCTACTGCAACATAATCTCTTATGTCACATGACTTGTTGGCAGCTATTAGAAGCTTAGGGTTGGCTATTACATCTTCGATTTTTTCTGTTTCCCACTTTCTATAAGCTTGGTAGCCCTAGTCTACCCTATGGGAAGGGGTAGGGGGGAAGGGGGAAGTAGGAAAACGGACCAGTGCCTCTCATACTCTGAGAGAAGTTGTGGCTGGTGTCACTCATGCTACCCTACCCTGAGAAAACTTCCCCTCATTTCTCCTGTTGATACTCTTGCAACACCGCATAGCTCCTGATGACGCACTCAGAAGTGTGAAAGTACTTGAAAATAATATTGATTTCAAGAGAAATTATTAATTTCAGTTTTGTTTTTTTCTACTATATTCAAGACCTAAATTTTTTTAAGCAATTATATTAAAATGTGAATAAAATAGCACTTGCTAGCAGGCATATTATTTAGAATTGACACCATTAATGTTAGATAATGTTTATGTTGGCTGACATGTGATATATTAGTCAAAGGTCATTAGTTACCGTCTAGCAAATTAGACTGTTAATTAGTAAAGGAGATATGTTCATGGTTTATGACTGATTGGAATAACGATAACACATGGCTGACACTTATAATGAAGACACGTGATTGACACATACAATGAAATCCTGTGATGCTTGTTGACACATGAGTGACATGGGGGCCGCTGTACGGTCACTGTGGGTTTAGCGCCTCCCACCCATGTATCAGTGCCTCCCACCCATGAATCCAGTGCCTCCCACCCATGAATCCAGTGTTAATAACCCACCTGAATGGGGAACCAGCAGACGATGAAGGTAACTACGACAATGACAACCATCCTGGTGACTCTCTTCTTTCCCCTGACACTCTCAGCGCTGCGACTGCCTCCCAGCGACACACCGTACCACAACCGGTTGAGAATCATGAGATAGAGAACCACTATCACCGTCAGTGGCACGAAGTACATGGTGGTGATGAAGCCGATCTAGAGGGTGAAGGGGAAGGGTAATAAGAGAAAAGCGAAATCAGACCTCGTAAATTACACACACACACACACACACACACACACACACACACACACACACACACACACACACACAGGAGCTCGGAATCGACCCCCGCAACCTCAACTAGGTGAGTACATGTATACATACATGGAAGAAATCACAATAAAACGCGTGATTGCAATTATGAAAAGATATCACAGCGATAATAGGAAATAAAACGTGAGTTCTTTCATGTGCTTACACACACATCTCTGAAGGTATGTGTACGGTGTGTAAGCACATGTGCTTACACACACACATCTCTGAAGGTATGTGTACGGTGTGTAAGCACATGAAAGAACTCACGTTTTATTTACATTTTCACTGTGGTATTTCTTCGTATACATATATAATTTTGTGATATATACTTCCGTGACATGGGACACACCACTTCTGTCTTAACATATATACACAGATCAAATAAAAATTATTCAAAGCATACCTATAGAATGGTTCCCAGAGCAGAAAATATGATTAAAGGCTGAAAATACTGAAGAAACCAAAGTTGACTAACAGCAGGAGAAGAGGAGATATGATAACAACATACTTGGTTGTATCAGTATATGAAGGAACATACTACGAATTATTTTTAATACCTATAACAGGGATAGTAAGTCATAGATATAGATTAAGATAAAAATGAAGCCAAGGAATTCTAGGAAATTTAAAAAAAAAAAAAACACGTTAATGAAGATACACGAAGAGCACAAGTCAGCTCCTGTCACTGACAATAAGCAATAACAAATGGGTAATTACACACACACACACACACACACAGGAGCTGTGACTCGACCCCTGCAACCACAACTAGGTGAGCATGTACACACACACTCGCCCGTAATACTCACATGGAAGGCCATATGATTATATTCTTTGTCCAAGAAGGCGCAGTGGATATACACTTCACCCTCGAACTTCTGCTTCTTGATGCCATGACAGAGGTAAAGTGGGATACACGAGGTCAGTATGAGGATCCAGCTCAGTGCGATGGAGTACAGAGCGTTCCTCTGTGTGCGAACTGTGGGACGGTAAGAAGTCAACGTCAGAGCGGAGAAGAGAATTGGTAAGTGGATGGGAGAGGGAGAGGTTGATCAAGGTTGAGGAGAAAGGGTAGAAGGAGTCAGTGTAAGGCATGAGAAGGTTTGTGTTTGTTTGTTTGTGGTGTGTGTGTGTGTGTGTACTCACCTATTTGTACTCACCTATTTGTGGTTGCAGGGGTCGAGTCCTAGCTCCTGGCCCCGCCTCTTCACCGGTTGCTACTGGGCCCTCTCTCTCCCCGCTCCATGAGCTTTATCAAACCTCGTCTTAAAACTGTGTATGGTTCCTGCCTCCACTACGTCATTTTCTAGGCTATTCCACTGCCTTACAACTCTATGACTGAAGAAATACTTCCTACTATCTCTCTGACTCATTTGTGTCTTCAACTTCCAATTGTGGCCTCTTGTTTCTGTGTCCCCTCCCTGGAACATCCTGTCTTTGTCCACCTTGTCTATTCCACGCAGTATTTTATATGTCGTTATCATGTCTCTCCTGACCCTCCTGTCCTCCAGTGTCGTCAGGCCGATTTCCCTTAATCTTTCTTCATAGGACATTCCCCTTAGCTCTGGAACTAACCTTGTCGCAAACCTTTGTACTTTCTCTAGTTTCTTGATGTGCTTTATCAAGTGCGGGTTCCAAACAGGTGCTGCATACTCCAGTATGGGCCTGACATACACGGTGTACAGTGTCTTGAATGATTCCTTACTAAGGTATCGGAAAGCTGTTCTCAGGTTTGCCAGGCGCCCATATGCTGCAGCAGTTATCTGATTGATGTGTGCTTCCGGAGACATGCTCGGTGTTATACTCACCCCAAGATCTTTCTCCTTGAGTGAGGTTTGCAGTCTTTGGCCACCTAGCCTATACTCTGTCTGGGGTCTTCTGTGCCCTTCCCCTATCTTCATGACTTTGCATTTGGCAGGATTAAATTCGAGAAGCCATTTGCTGGACCAGGTGTCCAGTCTGTCCAGGTCTCTTTGAAGTCCTGCCTGGTCTTCATCAGATTTAATTCTCCTCATTAACTTCACATCATCTGCAAACAGCGACACTTCTGAATCCAACCCTTCCGTCATGTCGTTCACATATACCAAAAATAGCACTGGTCCTAGGACCGACCCCTGTGGGACCCCGCTCGTCACAGGTGCCCACTGTGATACATCATTACGTACCATGACTCGTTGTTGCCTCCCTGTCAGGTATTCTCTGATCCATTGCAGTGCCCTTCCTGTTATATGCGCCTGATGCTCTAGCTTCTGCACTAATCTCTTGTGAGGAACTGTGTCAAAGGCCTTCTTGCAGTCTAAGAAGATGCAATCAACCCACCCCTCTCTCTCTTGTCTTACTTCTGTTATTTTATCGTAAAACTCCAGAAGGTTTGTGACACAGGATTTGCCTTCCGTGAATCCGTGCTGGTTGGCATTTATACTCCTGTTCCGTTCCAGGTGCTCCACCACTCTCCTCCTGACAATCTTCTCCATAATTTTGGATACTTTACACGTCAATGACACAGGTCTATAGTTTAGTGCCTCTTTTCTGTCTCCTTTTTTAAAAATGGGAACTACATTTGCCGTCTTCCATACCTCAGGTAGTTGCCCAGTTTCCAGGGATGTGTTGAAGATTGTGGCAAGTGGCACGCACAACATATCTGCTCCCTCTCTAAGGACCCACGGGGAGATGTTGTCCGGTCCCATTGCCTTTGAGGTATCGATGTCCCTTAGCAGTTTCTTCACCTCCTCCTCATCTGTGTGTGTGTGTGTGTGTGTGTGTGTGTGTGTGTGTTAAAATATCAATATATTAGCAAGATCTTTTACAAAACTTCCTAGTTTGTATCCTTCAGGAACTTCTTCCAACTTTCTGGTTTGCCTCCTTCGTCGGCTAATGGACCTCCACACCCACCACTACCTCCTCCTCTTCCTCCTCCACCCCCTTCTCTTCCTCCTCCACCCCTTTCTCTTCCTCCTCCACCCCCTCCTCTTCCTCCTCCACCTCCTCCTCTTCCTCCTCCACCCCCTCCTCTTCCTCCTCCACCCCCTCATCTTCCTCCTCCACCCCCTCATCTTCCTCCTCCACCCCCTCATCTTCCTCCTCCACCCCCTCCTCTTCCTCTTCCTCCTCCTCCTCCTCCCCTCCTCCTCCTCCTCCTCCTCCTCCTCTTCCTCCTCCTCCTCTTCCTCCTCCACCTCCTCCTCTTCCTCCTCCACCTCCTCCTCTTCCTTCTACACCTCCTTTTCTTCCTCCACCTCCTCTTCCTCCTTCACCTCCTCCTCCTCTACTTCCCCCACTTTCTCTGAAGGCAGCAGACGTCCCTGTATATATTTTTTTTAATTTTGTGATGTAAGATTATGAAGAGAATGGGGCCTTGATACCTGTGAAGGGTTTTTGATCCAAGGAACTGGAATTATCTTCTTGTCCCTAGGATCATACCTAATCATATCCCATTTCCAGACGCTGTGGGACTTCTATGATCTCATTGCTTCTCCCTGAACATAATTTTAGCAGTTTTACTATAACCAGAAGCCACACACATGATCAGCGACCCCCATCAGGGGTCCAAAGGCCCCCAGGGGTCCAAAGACCCCCAGGGGTCCAGAAACCACCAGGGATTCAGAGACCTCCAGTGGTCCAGAGACCTCCAGTGGTCCAGAGACCTCCAGTGGTCCAGAGACCTCCAGTGGTCCAGAGACCTCCAGTGGTCCAGAGACCTCCAGGGGTCCAGGACCACTAGTGGACCAGAAGCTACACTACTCACTTGTGATTGCAGCGATGGGATGCACCACCGCCAGGAACCTATCGAAGGAAAGGAGGAGCAGCGTGTAGACGGAGGCGTAGGCTGTGACATAGGTGAGGTACTGCACCGCCTTGCACCAGATGCTGCCGAAGGGCCACGACAGCAAGATGTAGTCGGAGGCAGTGAAGGGGACGCAGAAGACGATAAACAGTAGGTCCGCCATCGCCAGACTGTAAAGAACAGCACAATAACATCAAGAAAATGCCCACCTACTTACCAGACCGAAAGCAGGGAGTAGCTAAAATACTTTCCTAAGACGGTCGTGTGCATTAAACACATTGGGCATTAGATTTATGTTCATACCAGAAGCAAAAATAAAAAATAAAACAAAATACACCAAATTTTTTTTACATGTGTGGGTAGAAAATATGGTGGAATGGGTCAATTACAATAGATCAAGATATATGACACATAATCATTAAAAACAGAAAATGTATAAACAAAGAGCTGTATAACTCACAATATACAAGCACTGAGGCGTGTATTTCTCTCATTGTATAAATACCGAGTCGTGTATATACGTACTGTATAAACAAGAAGTATATATCTCTCGGTATATGCAGCAAAGTATTTTTCTGCTTTACTTATTTAAAGTATCAGCTGAGGGTCGGACTGCCCAAGGCTGCAGCCGCCTGAATTTTAATCAGAATTTTATTGCTCAGTAAGAAAGAAATGTTAGTTAATCTCCATCAGGAAGAACAGTAAAAAAAAAAGACCGTTGTGTCAATATTAACTTTCTCGCAAAGTTGTCTTTAAAGAGTCCGTGAGAGAGAGAGAGAGAGAGAGAGAGAGAGAGAGAGAGAGAGAGAGAGAGAGAGAGAGAGAGAGAGAGAGAGAGAGAGAATGGGTGATTGTTTCTCGATAATGTGTCAATGAAAGGTGAAGAATGAAATAAACTTACTGAGAGAGGATTAATAGAGCTTTACTCTCAGCTTGAAGCTTAGGAATGTTTCTGATGGAAAATTTAACTCGTGTACCATCCACTATGAGTGGCGCAGTCGACCAATGAGGCACAAGACAGAATATTTGAGTATTTTCCATGTTTATGAGCCAAATGTAATGTTTACCGTAGAAAAAACATTGTGCGGGCAGGTCTACACATCGCTGCAATTTCACAATGAAAAACCTTAAGCAAACTTTTTCTCGAATTGTGTAAAGAGTAGAGTAAAAAAACCTCTGTTACATGCCTGGAACAATTCACAAGTAACTTATAATTTAGATATGAAGCATAATGCATTTCGATTCTTTTTGGAACATTATCAGACCAGTTGTGAGTTAGGAGCGCGAGCATACTGGCTACCCTGTAATTGCGAGTCTAAACTTGGGCAAAACCTGCCTATTTTTTTTTTAACCTTTGCGTAAGAGAGACATGTAGACTGTAGATCACACGTACAGACCTATTTCTCGTTGAAAGAACGTATGGCTTGCATTACCAATATAGACGAAGAGCAAGTTTGTGTTCTGTTATCACCTGGCTTACAAGACACGCACTAGTACGCAGTAAGGTGTTTATCTGAGAGTTCCCGTTAATCCCTACTTTAGGGGTTGAAGTCATTCTAGATTGGTGGTGAGTAGGTGACATGCAGCCTTATTGTATCCCTCCTATCCCTTACTCATCCTCTCCACCCTTGACTCTCCATCGCGTTCCGTGGGGAAAAAATGATTTACGATTAATGAGCTGAACTAAGTGGAGTGATATTAATTGGATCAGACACTGATGAAAACAAGTGTTTGGTGTGCCCGCTGGTGTTGCCGGTGTTCTCAAGTTGTGTTGTGCTTAGTGTTAGTTTAGTGAGAGCTTCAATGCTGCATTTTGTGTCAGAGTCTTGATATTAAATTACAGCGATTCAGAGAACAAGTTACATGTTGTAATTCATTCACAAACTTCCCGTTAGTGTGAAAGAAAAGATACACAGTTGCTGAGCAAGCTTTGTGCTGGGATGTAGAGGTCTGTGTAGAGTTTGTGTAGAGTTCTGTGTAGAGTTCTGTGTGGAGCTCTGTGTAGAGATCTGTGTAGAGATCTGTGTAGAGCTTTATCATGACTTGTGCTACAGCTTCTCTTTTCTTTCAGAGTAATGGACAGTACACCATGGGGACCCGTCCTTTCAATTATTTTGTTAGAGTTGTGCGATGGTGCCTGGAAGACGAGGTATTAATACCAACTCAACGGGCAAAAATTAAGACATTAAATTACCCTATCTGTTATGGGAAATTATAATATGAACAGAAATGCCGGAACAAACCGAACAAACATCCTAAACATAATAGAACAAAATCTAATTTTATATATAAATGTTTTTGGGGATCAAATTTCTAAGATTTTATCTTTCTACTTTTGTGCTATAGTCCACAGGGTAAATAAGAGCCTCGTATTAAAGCGCTTTTATCTTTTACTTTTGTGCTATAGTCCACAGGGTAAATAAGAGCCTCGTAATAAAGCGCTTTTATCTTTTACTTTTGTGCTATAGTCCACAGGGTAAATAAGAGCCTCGTAATAAAGCGCTTTTATCTTTTACTTTTGTGCTATAGTCCACAGGGTAAATAAGAGCCTCGTAATAAAGCGCTTCGACCGCTAATTTCAAAATAAAAAAAAATATCTGAAAGCCTATCTTCAAATTAGTTTATGTTTCATATATTGAAAATTCTGTATTTATGTCCTAATTATCAGAGGGTTGTAAAGTGTCTTCACGCAACATACACTTTGTGCGTGTACTCACCTAGTTATACTCACATAGTTGTGGTTGCAGGGGTCGAGTCATAGCTCCTGGCCCCGCCTCAGCCGCTACTCTGTCACTCTTCCTGCTCCCTGAGCTCAATCATACCTCGTCTTAAAGCTATGTATGGATCCTGCGGCCACTACATCACTTCCCAGACTGCTCCACTTTCTGACTACTCTGCGACTGAAGAAATACTTCCTAACATCCCTGTGATTCATCTGGGTCTTCAACTTCCAACTGTGAACTCTTGTTGCTGTGTTCCATCTCTGGAACATCCTGCCTCTGTCCACCTTGTCGAGTCCTACCAGTATTTTATATCTCGTTATCATATCCCCTCCTATCTCTCCTGTCTTCCAGAGTCGTGTGTGTGTGTGTGTGTGTGTGTGTGTGTGTGTGTGTGTGTGTGTGTGTGTGTGTGTGTGTGTGTACTCACCTAGTTGAGGTTGAAGGAGTCGAGTCCAAGCTCCTGTGTGTGTGTGTGTGTGTGTGTGTGTGTGTGTGTGTGTGTGTGTGTGTGTGTTTTGTACATGTATTATAACACCAAATTACGCGAAAGCAATTTTTTTTCTCTCAAAATAATTGACGGAAATAATTTTTTCAGCCTTGTCTGCCAACACTTTCACGACCCAGAGGCCCTAACACCCTTCATGATCCAGAGGACCTAACACCCTTCATGACCCAGAGGACCTAACACCCTTCATGATCCAGAGGACCTAACACCCTTCATGATCCAGAGGACCTAACACCCTTCATGATCCAGAGGACCTAACACCCTTCATGATCCAGAGGACCTAACACCCTTCATGATCCAGAGGCCCTAACACCCTTCATGATCCAGAGGACCTAACACCCTTCATGATCCAGAGGACCTAACACCCTTCATGATCCAGAGGACCTAACACCCTTCATGACCCAGAGGACCTAACACCCTTCATGATCCAGAGGCCCTAACACCCTTCAAGACCCAGAGGCCCTAACACCCTTCATGATCCAGAGGACCTAACACCCTTCATGATCCAGAGGACCTAACACCCTTCATGATCCAGAGGACCTAACACCCTTCATGATCCAGAGGACCTAACACCCTTCATGATCCAGAGGACCTAACACCCTTCATGATCCAGAGGACCTAACACCCTTCATGACCCAGAAGACCTAACACCCTTCATGATCCAGAGGCCCTAACACCCTTCATGATCCAGAGGCCCTAACACCCTTCATGATCCAGAGGACCTAACACCCTTTATGATCCAGAGGACCTAACACCCTTCATGATCCAGAGGACCTAACACCCTTCATGATCCAGAGGACCTAACACCCTTCATGATCCAGAGGACCTAACACCCTTCATGATCCAGAGGACCTAACACCCTTCATGATCCAGAGGACCTAACACTCTTCATGATCCAGAGGACCTAACACCCTTCATGATCCAGAGGACCTAACACCCTTCATGACCCAGAGGCCCTAACACCCTTCATGACCCAGAGGACCTAACACCCTTCATGATCCAGAGGACCTAACACCCTTCATGACCCAGAGGCCCTAACACCCTTCATGACCCAGAGGACCTAACACCCTTCATGATCCAGAGGACCTAACACCCTTCATGATCCAGAGGACCTAACACCCTTCATGATCCAGAGGCCCTAACACCCTTCATGACCCAGAGGACCTAACACCCTTCATGATCCAGAGGACCTAACACCCTTCATGACCCAGAGGCCCTAACACCCTTCATGACCCAGAGGACCTAACACCCTTCATGACCCAGAGGCCCTAACACCCTTCATGACCCAGAGGACCTAACACCCTTCATGATCCAGAGGACCTAACACCCTTCATGACCCAGAGGCCCTAACACCCTTCATGACCCAGAGGACCTAACACCCTTCATGATCCAGAGGACCTAACACCCTTCATGATCCAGAGGACCTAACACCCTTCATGATCCAGAGGCCCTAACACCCTTCATGACCCAGAGGACCTAACACCCTTCATGATCCAGAGGACCTAACACCCTTCATGACCCAGAGGCCCTAACACCCTTCATGACCCAGAGGACCTAACACCCTTCATGATCCAGAGGACCTAACACCCTTCATGATCCAGTGGACCTAACACCCTTCATGATCCAGAGGCCCTAACACCCTTCATGACCCAGAAGACCTAACACCCTTCATGATCCAGAGGACCTAACACCCTACATGACCCAGAGGCCCTAACACCCTTCATGACCCAGAGGACCTAACACCCTTCATGACCCAGAGGCCCTTACACCTTTCATGACCCAGAGGCCCTAACACCCTTCATGACACAGAGGACCTAACACCCTTCATGACCCAGAGAACCTAACACCCTTCATGATCCAGAGCTCTAACACCCTTCATGATCCAGAGGACCTAACACCCTTCATGACCCAGAGGACCTAACACCCTTCATGACCCAGAGGACCTAACACCCTTCATGACCCAGAGGACCTAACACCCTTCATGACCCAGAGGACCTAACACCCTTCACGACCCAGAGGACCTAACACCCTTCATGACCCAGAGGACCTAACCACCCTTCATGACCTGGAGGACCTAACACCCTTCATGACCCAGAGGACCTAACACCTTTCATGATCCAGAGGACCTAGCACCCTTCATGACCCAGAGGCCCTAACACCCTTCATGACCCAGAGGCCCTAACACCCTTCATGACCCAGAGGCCCTAACACCCTTCATGACCCAGAGGCCCTAACACCCTTCATGACCCAGAGGACCTAACCACCCTTCATGACCCGGGGGACCTAACCAACCTTCATGACCCGGGGGACCTAACCAACCTTCATGACCCGGAGGACCTAACACCCATCATAACCCAGAAATCTCGGCAAAGATTTCTGAAAGGAAAATTGGGTCACCCACCTGAAAATAAGATAGTTTGTTGTTGACCTCATCTGCTTGTTAGCGATGATGACGATGACGACGAGGGTGTTGCCAAAGAGGCCCACCAAGACGATGATGCCGAAGATGATAGGTACAACGATAGCAACGATGATGGCGTACTCGAAGATGGGGCTGTCCTGAAGATGAAGTAAGTTGACCATGGTGCTAAGTTACATTACACACATATATATATATATATATATATATATATATATATATATATATATATATATATATAATATATATATATATATATATATATATAATATAATATATAAGAGAGAGAGAGAGATGTAAATCTTCGTAAATACACACAGGAAAATATACAAATCTCAGTACATATAAACGATGAAAGCCTCCTTGTATATACAGCAAAAGATATACAAGATCTCATGTATATACTCCGTGTTCCTGGTATTTTATCTAGCAGAAACAAGCTGGAAAGTCATGCCAATTACTAAGCATACAAACTGCAGTTGTTCACAATGGTTGTTATTCCCCCTGTAACTACCTGTCTACCACATTAGTGTTGCATCAGACGTACAGTGTTATTATACCTTTCCCTCTTTCACCCTCTCCTCTTGACGCATTCATTTGTTTCAGTCATCGCTCTGCAATCCACTTCATCCTCAGCCCAAACTATAGGAAACTGATAAATTGATTATCAATAGTAGAAGCATTGGCGACCCTTCCTGGGCAATATTTCACTTTAGAAATCATTTTCGACATCAGAAATATCTGGATAACTATAGTAAAGGACAAGTGGAAGGACAAGCTTTCATTGGGGCAACATTTCACTCTTCGTAGAGCCTTATAGAAGCTCTATACAGAGCGAAACGTTCTCTTATTGAAAGTTTGTCTTGTTGTTTATGTCTTTCTCTACATACTGGTCAGCAAAAGCCTAACTTAGTATTACACAAGTAACCAGCAAATAGGATTATTATTATTATAATCAAGGGGAAGCGCTAAACCCGGAGGATTTATACAGCGCCTGGGGGAGGGGGGGGGGATGTGGAAGGCATTCAGGCTTAATTCGGGGAACTGGAGCACAGATCCAATTCCCTAAATCAAGAGCCCCTCACCAGCAAATAGGAGAGTGAAACTTTTGACGACGTTCGGTCCGACTTGGACCATTAACGAGTCTCACAGTTTATGGTCCAAGTCGGACCGAAACGTCGTTGCTTCTCTCTCCTATGTGTTGGTTATTAGTGTATTCTTCCAGGCACGGTAATGTCCCTTTTTTTTCTAACTAGCATCACTGAAACAGTGAAAAAAGTCTCTAAGACGCAGAAAACCGGGCGTATAAAACGGAAAAATATCGAAGGCCCGTATGCATATTAGCAGTTATGGAACTAATGGCCGTTTCTACTGAAAAAATAATTATAAAGACTAAAAATTCCATGCAGGATTATCAAATGCAATGGAATGATCCATATGAAAACATTTACCATTGCATCGGAGAGCCTAGTTTTTTGTCAGCCATGAGAATTTTAATTAGAAACGGGTAATTGTCAGGGAACTACGAGCCGACACACGATATGAAAAAACAACATTCATAGTGAATATCATATCACATTGCCTTACGTGTAAATAAATAAATATATGGTGGGAGGCCCAATGCTGTACCGTTGAGCTACGAGGCTTACATAGCAGAAAAGCTGTTCGTAAAATCCTTCGTATTGCAAGCTTCGTAGCTCATAGGTACAGCTTTGGGCCTACACAATGCCAGAAACACGGTTCGACTCTCCGTCTATTCTTGCTATATATATATTCTATGTGTATGTGTATATTTGCACTGATTTATTAACTGAAATGTAAATGGACATGAGCCCATTCCCTCTCCCCAAAAGAACAGAAATGATACAACAAAAATATATTATTTATTACTGGAATAACATTATTTGTCCATCACCCTTCAAGAAATGCATATCCCTATTGGTTCACGTCACCCTCACCGCCAGTTGAGTTCCCTCAAGGAACGTTACACAATTTTATTATCCCGTGCACTACCTTATTCTGGCGATTCACTGGGTTGTTAGGATATGTTCCTCCTGTAAATCCACTCTATTATTTGCATGATTTTCCTCTCCAGTGCCTTTTTTTTTATTCCACACAAACGATTTCTTATAACTCATGTTTCTATTACGGCGATGTATTTATATGCTAACAGCTGCTATACCAAGAGCTGCTACACTAAGAGCTGTTATATTAAGAGCTGCAATACTACCTTAGCTCTCAAAATTTACAGCATAAGGTTTGAAGACTGACATATTTGTGCAATATTTTGGGAATCTTTATAGAGGAAACGTTTCGCCAGCCAGTGGTTTCTTCAGTACGATGCAGAGAAGAACGGAAGAATATGTGGAGTTTGAGGTAATCGGTCCCTCAACCTGGAGTCGATGTGTTCACTCCGTCAAGACTGTAGAAGCCACTGGCTGGCGAGAAGTTTCCTCAATAAAGACTCCCAAAAATGTTGCAAGTGTCTCATTCTTCAACTTGTCGGTATTCTTAACCATTTACACCAAAAGTTTATAGGCTAAGCGCTGTTATCCCGTCTCATCTCTTTTATTAATAGGTTAAAAACTGTTATCCTACCTCAGTTCATAATTTGTAGATTCAAAAGTGTTACACTATCCCAGCTTACAAGAAGAGCTGTTATCTTTCTAGGTAAACTGGGGTAAAAGGTATAAGAAGACTTGCACAGATATCTTCACCCACCGCTGGACTAAACTCGAGTACATAGACTGTGAGCCGAAAAGACTGTCACCGACCCAACAGAACTACAACTTACCTCTACTGTCTTGTTGTTGTTGCACAGGGGCAGCTTGGTGTAGTTGGTGGAGTTGCAGAGGATATAGGACGGAAGAAAAGTGAGGAAAGGTTCGATACCATTCTCCTCGTCTATATCTGTTCCTTCCCCGTCCATCGTCAAGTCCTCCAGGTCACCCATTCTGCAACCAATATATCAACACAAGTTTCTCGCTGCGGCTTCCAGTTGGGAAACTACATTCGCTTCACCAGTTCTGTTTCCTCGATAATTGAAGTGAAAATATTTATTTTATTTTAAAAATTCGCGATAAGGCTCCAGCGATCGTCTGTATATACATTAAATTTCTAGTTCGCCTTATATCTTCTAATGTGGTTTTAATATGATCAGCGCTGCTGTGACTGGAGCAACTACGTGAGGATCCCCACATGTAGGTGTGGTCAGGCTTAATGTTTACACCGAGCGTGTCTCAGACACAGGCTTACGAAAATATTTGTAAGAGATACATAAGTTTTTACAAGTGTACATGAGTGTCACTTTCTACAAGTGTTTTACATACGCATATCACTGTTGTTCATATATCTGGACATGGATACGTATTACCGTGTTACCTGGCAACTAAGAGTTTATTTTGCCAGAATTTACAAATTAAAGTTTATCTTAAGTTGAATTATATTAATTCTGAAAGTCTTTGACATATCAAAAAAATTGTCTTTCATTATAAAGCGTCCACAAACCTTTCCATAGTTATATCTCACTGATTTCAACAAAAACTTTTTCTAATCTTGATAAACGGGGATTTGTACAAAGTTAATGGCCTGCGATTTCTGATTGCTGGTCCATAAGCTTGGAGAGTCCTACTGGAGGTGATGATGGAAAATGGACAGTGTCACCTGATCCGAGTCTCTCACGCAGTCTTAATTTTTTTCCTATATTGGTGACCTTAAAATCCAGACTGACGTCTGACACTTATGATGTTCTGTTACATCGTAGAAATTCTTGATCACAACGATGACGGCTGATCAGAGGAACTCGTGTCTAACAAGCCACTAACAACCTGTAAGGGGAAACAAAGTACGTAACTTTCATTATAAAGTTTGCGAAAATTAAGCAAAATAACAATCTATATACACCGAGAGGTGTTTGTCTCTTAGTGTCTATACATGTACAGGTCAAATGACCAAAAACTCTACTGAACGAATCATATTACGAACAATTACGTTAGTTGCAACTTTCCTCTTTTTTTCCTGGTATAAAAGAATATCATCTCCTTAGGTTTAAGATATAATTTAGAGTGAACAGACACAGAGAATAATACGAACAAAATTTAGTGAGATATGTGGTTCACTTCAGTCACCCTTCCTGTTTGATTGGTTATGTCAATTAATTGGGTGAGTGAGAGTCATTTTTAAAACAGCCTTAATAAGATGAATTTAAGACAGGATCTAATTAGTCATATTTCATATGTATCCGAGGGCTGTCTCAGAGCCGTCCACCAGGAAGGTGACCACCCTAAGAGTTATCATATAATTAGTTTAAAAAGTATATTACGTACATGATATATTATTGCAAACAACTCGGCGAGAAATTTCTTCTTGAGCAGTTGCCTTTACAAGTGATTTAAGGAAGGGATTATTGTCTAGTGATGAGCTTCTTGGGGTCAGCTTCAAGATCAGCGATATCAGTTAAATACAACTACCATAGAGGGGTGAAATGCTCTTGTCTACAGTGATACAGTGATAGGGTGATACAGTGATAGGGTGATAAAGTGATAGGGTGATACAGTGATACAGTGATAGGGTGATAGGGTGATACAGTGATAGGGTGATACAGTGATAGAGTGATACAGTGATACAGTGATAGGGTGATACAGTGATAGGGTGATAGGGTGATACAGTGATAGGGTGATACAGTGATAGGGTGATACAGTGATAGGGTGATACAGTGATAGGGTGATACAGTGGTAGGGTGATACAGTGATAGGGTGATACAGTGATAGAGTGATACAGTGATACAGTGATAGGGTGATACAGTGATAGGGTGATAGGGTGATACAGTGATAGGGTGATACAGTGATAGGGTGATACAGTGATAGGGTGATACAGTGATAGGGTGATACAGTGATAGGGTGATACAGTGATAGGGTGATACAGTGATACAGTTGGTGTAGGTTACAAAAACTTAACATTCTTGGGTATTTAACGATCCACTAAAAGTTCTTTATACTTTCAGTGATGTGAAGACAAAATGACCAACTCTTATCATTATGGTTTGTTTAAATATGTTTAAATAAGGGCTCGTTCCTCCTAGGATATCTTTATTACGTTAGACTTTATTATAAGAAGAGTTAGTTAATAGCTTCAGACGTAGTCATAGTGTTTATTACGTTAGACTTTATTATAAGAAGAGTTAGTTAATAGCTTCAGACGTAGTCATAATCTTTATTACGTTAGACTTTATTATAAAAAGAGTTAGTTAATAGCTTCAGACGTAGTCATAATCTTTATTACGTTAGACTTTATTATAAGAAGAGTTAGTTAATAGCTTCAGACGTAGTCATAGTCTTTATTACGTTAGACTTTATTATAAAAAGAGTTAGTTAATAGCTTCAGACGTAGTCATAATCTTTATTACGTTAGACTTTATTATAAAAAGAGTTAGTTAATAGCTTCAGACGTAGTCATAATCTTTATTACGTTAGACTTTATTATAAGAAAGTTAGTTAATAGCTTCAGACGTAGTCATAATCTTTATTACGTTAGACTTTATTATAAAAAGAGTTAGTTAATAGCTTCAGACGTAGTCATAATCTTTATTGCTTTGAAAAAATAAATTACTTTGCTGTTGGTGTTTCCAAATTAAATCTTGTGACTTATATTTAATGGGACATAATCATTACTTTGCAGAGGCTGCATCTGTTGTGAGGCTCCCGGGGCCACTGTTGTGTGGCTCCCGGGGCCACTGTTGTGAGGCTCCCGGGGCCACTGTTGTGTGGCTCCCGGGGCCACTGTTGTGAGGCTCCCGGGGCCACTGTTGTGTGACTCCCGGGGCCACTGTTGTGTGGCTCCCGGGGCCACTGTTGTGTGACTCCCGGGGCCACTGTTGTGTGGCTCCCGGGGCCACTGTTGTGTGGCTCCCGGGGACTCTGTTGTGTGGCTCCCGGGGCCACTGTTGTGTGGCTCCCTGGGCCACTGTTGTGAGGCTCCCGGGACCACTGTTGTGTGGCTCCCTGGGCCACTGTTGTGTGGCTCCCGGGGACTCTGTTGTGTGGCTCCCGGGGCCACTGTTGTGTGGCTCCCTGGGCCACTGTTGTGAGGCTCCCGGGGACTCTGTTGTGTGGCTCCCGGGGCCTGTTGTGTGGCTCCCTGGGCCACTGTTGTGTGGCTCCCGGGACTCTGTTGTGTGGCTCCCGGGGCCACTGTTGTGTGGCTCCCGGGGCCACTGTTGTGTGGCTCCCGGGGTCACTGTTGTGTGGCTCCCGGGGCCACTGTTGTGTGGCTCCCGGGGCCACTGTTGTGTGGCTCCCGGGGCCACTGTTGTGTGGCTCCCGGGGCCACTGTTGTGTGGCTCCGGGGCCACTGTTGTGTGGCTCCCGGGGCCACTGTTGTGTGGCTCCCGGGGCCACTGTTGTGTGGCTCCCGGGCCACTGTTGTGTGGCTCCCGGGCCACTGTTGTGTGGCTCCCGGGGCCACTGTTGTGTGGCTCCCGGGGCCACTGTTGTGTGGCTCCCGGGGCCACTGTTGTGTGGCTCCCGGGGCCACTGTTGTGTGGCTCCCGGGGCACTGTTGTGTGGCTCCCGGGATCTGTTGTGTGGCTCCCGGGGAATCTGTTGTGTGGCTCCCGGGCCACTGTTGTGTGGCTCCCGGGGCCACTGTTGTGTGGCTCCCGGGGCCACTGTTGTGTGGCTCCCGGGGCCACTGTTGTGTGGCTCCCGGGGACTCTGTTGTGTGGCTCCCGGGGACTCTGTTGTGTGGCTCCCGGGGACTCTGTTGTGTGGCTCCCGGGGACTCTGTTGTGTGGCTCCCGGGGACTCTGTTGTGTGGCTCCCGGGGACTCTGTTGTGTGGCTCCCGGGGACTCTGTTGTGTGGCTCCCGGGGACTCTGTTGTGTGGCTCCCGGGGACTCTGTTGTGTGGCTCCCGGGGACTCTGTTGTGTGGCTCCCGGGGACTCTGTTGTGTGGCTCCCGGGGACTCTGTTGTGTGGCTCCCGGGACTCTGTTGTGTGGCTCCCGGGACACTGTTGTGTGGCTCCCGGGGACTCTGTTGTGTGGCTCCCGGGGACTCTGTTGTGTGGCTCCCGGGGCCCTGTTGTGTGGCTCCTGGGGCCACTGTTGTGTGGCTCCGGCCACTGTTGTGTGGCTCCCGGGCCACATGTTGTGTGGCTCCCGGGGACTCTGTTGTGTGGTCTCGGGGACTGTTGGTGGCTCCGGGGATCTGTTGTGTGGGTCCCGGAGGACTCTGTTGTGTGGCTCCCGGGACCATGTTGTGGGCTCCCGGGACTCTGTTGTGTGGCTCCCGGACTCTGTTGTGTGACTCCCGGACTCTGTTGTGTGACTCCCGGGGACTCTGTTGTGTGACTCCCGGGGACTCTGTTGTGTGGCTCCGGGGACTCTGTTGTGTGGCTCCCGGGGACTCTGTTGTGTGGCTCCCGGGACTCTGTTGTGTGGCTCCCGGGACTCTGTTGTGTGGCTCCCGAGGGACTCTGTTGTGTGGCTCCGGGACTCTGTTGTGGCTCCCGGGACTCTGTTGGTGGCTCCAGGACTCTGTTGTGTGGCTCCCGGGACTCTGTTGTGTGGCTCCGGGGACTCTGTTGTGGCTCCCTGGGGACTCTGTTGTGTGGCTCCCGGGGACTCTGTTGTGTGGCTCCCGAGGACTCTGTTGTGTGGCTCCCGGGGACTCTGTTGTGTGGCTCCCGGGGACTGTGTTGTGTGACTCCCGGGGACTCTGTTGTGTGGCTCCCGGGGACTCTGTTGTGTGGCTCCCGGGGACTCTGTTGTGTGGCTCCCGGGTCACATTACTCAATAAGATTCCCAACACCAGAACCTCTCACTCTGCATCACGAGTGATTGTAACTATCTACACCAAGCTAGTAATCATTTGTGTGAAGTTACATTACAGGAGAGAGAGAGAGAGAGAGAGAGAGAGAGAGAGAGAGAGAGAGAGAGAGAGAGAGAGAGAGAGAGAGAGAGAGAGAGAGAGAGAGAGAGAGAGAGAGAGAAAGCTGCATTCGCAATTATTTAGGCATAAATTTCACAGTTAAGCCTGTAAGACTTCTCCACCTCGCCTAGTACACCTCCCATCAGCCTCCATCAAAGAAAGGTGCCACTGTTCACTGTTTTTAGAGGCACGTGCCCAGAACCCAGGTGCCACTGTCCTCCACAATCTCCGTGAAGACCGAACTAGGCGACGATTAATGAATCTATGCTCGAGGACCCATAAAAGTTCGTAGATACGCTTAGGGGAATCATTAAATATGCATTAGGGTTCTGACTAACAACTGCTCAGCTCACGATGCTGATGTGGGTCTTAATTATTCTGCGTAGACTAATGATTCTTTCTTCACGGAAGAGTTAGTGACCCTTGTGCCTCTGCAACCTCGCGTACCTTCACGCGTTGTCAAGTGTTCCTGAAGGTTGAGAGAGACACATTAGGGAGGTAAAAACGTATAACGATACCAATAAAATCGATGAAAAGACACAAGAACATACACCTAGGACATGTTTATGGGATACATTTCGGTCCTGGGACACTGGTCACGTCAGATGATGTGGCTAGGGACCCAGGACCGAAATGTATCTAGTAAAGATGTCCTGTCTGTATTCACGTGTATCCTTTCATACAAGGACACTATTGCGAAGATTCAACCAGGGGTATATACCCGACCTAATGAGAGAAACGAGCACCCGGATCCTGATCTCAGGATGATCGTTTCGCGCTACAGTATCATGTAGCTCTATGCAGGTGCTTGAATGAGGTGCCTGGAAACAGGTACATATATATAGCATCTTCCACCCTACCTGCTGAATTACACCATCTTTCTTCCGCACTTGAAGATGT